GAAATACCATCTTCATCAGTTTTTCGTATCTCCTGCTTTTGACAATTAAGAGTTTCAGAGTTTTTTTTATTTAAAAATGGTATTTTTATTCGAATTTCAAACTATTAGCTAAAAATATTTCCCAATTTTGAAATTTTGGATATTTTTCATACCCACAAATATCGTAAAGATTTCAAAATACCATTTTTTAAGTTTTCCGTATCTCCATGGGACATCTTTATGTTATGAAACATATATTTCTTAAAATTGTCCACTTCCTCTTGAGAAAGCTCCGAAATTCCTTAGTTATTTTTGAGACATTAAATAAAGCCATATTAATATTCAAATAATATTTGAATAAATTCATTTAACACAAATCAAAATCAATGGGAGGCCATTAACTAACTAAAAATACACACCAAAAATTATACCTGGAAAATTTATTTCAAAGGCCACTACCAGCTATTTCGTATTGAATATGTAAATCGAAATACACAGGTATTTTACTTGTCCTACAACTACCGTTATGCAAATGTTGTCTCTTAAAAAAGAGGCATTTAATGAACACATGTTTTGTAAATAGTTTACACGGCTTCGAACGAATAGAGTCATTAGTTTGACATAAAGAAACGTCATAAATTCGTTGCGTTGACATTAATGCTGCAACTCAAATTAAATAACATGACCACCGGGAGTTTAAATGGGACTTTTATGTTAATACAAACCTCTTATCATGCATTAATGACTCAATCGGGATGGGTTCTTCAATGTCCGAATTGAGCCAAAAAGTTGTCACAATTGTCAAAACAAGAAATACCCTTGGCCATTGTTGTTTAGACGAAATTCGAAATGGGGTCAACTAGCAACAGCTTAACCTGTTCTCTATAAGGAAAATTATATTTTTTTTCTTTTGTCCCAGTTGCTCTAGATTTATTCAAATTTATGTTGATTTTCCAATGCGTTTGTGTAGATAAATAGAATGAACAAAAAAAAAACAATCATTTTATTGACCACCCACTGTAATGATCCGTTAGTTAATTGATTGTGGAAGGAAACTCTTTTTATGTTGGGAGTTCAAAGAAAAACGAAAAAAAAAGAACTCAAAAAAATATCCAGTGGAAATAATGCGTGGCTCTAGTTGTTGTTGTTGCTGCTGCCGCTAACGACTGGGTGTTGCTGCTTTTAACAAAAACTTCAGCCAGCCCCAGCAATCATTTATTTATTGTTTATTTGTTATTGTTGTCAATCTTGATGTTGGTTTTACCATTATTGCTATTATTCCCCCGCACCCCACTTCCACCCCGCCTCTTTGCTGTTGTAGTTGTCGTTGTTGTTTACTCTAATTATTATAGACATTTTGTTTTGTTTAAACACCATTGCGATGTGAACGACAGACATAACGACACATCAAATCAACATCGTCGTCGTCATCGTCGTTCCCGTCGTCGTCATAATGATAATAATTTCCCTTACACCACTTTTTACAACTTGATTTTCTTTATGTATATGTATGTTTGTATGTGTTTGTTTGTATTGATTTGTTTTCACTGTGTATGTGTGTAGTTTACTCTACTATTTACCAAGACATTTGATGTTACCAACAGATACATAAGTAGATATTTATTATTGTTATTCAAACATTCATTATCGCATTGAATTAATAATAACAACAAATAACAGCAAAAAAACAAAAAGAAAATCAACCTCTTGCTCTACGAGTCTTATGTTTTTCATTTTCAACATCAATTTTTGCCATATAATGAATTAATTAATAACTGAAAACAAAATATATCATCAGCAAAAAAAAAAAAAAAACAAAACAAAAAATAATAAATATTCATATATGAATGCAAGTTGAATTGAATTTGTTTCATTTTAATTTTTATTTCTATTCTATATTGAAATTTTATCCATAGCTAAAATTTATGATGAGAAAATAATGATGAGTGCGAAAAAAAAAAAACAAAAAAATAAAACAGAAATTGTTGTTTGATTTTAAGTCTTCTTTTACTTTTTTTTTGATAACCATATATATTTAATTAAGTTTTAATTTATTGAAATAACAATTTATTTTCATAACATTGATGTCAAGTATATTTGTGATTCAAAAAAAAAAAAAAAAAAAAAAAAAAACAAAAGAAAAAACTGCAACTATAAATTGGAATTATTAAATGGATGTTATTGGCATTTAACAGAATTTATAATAGTCCTGATAGTATTGCAGATAAATATATAAAATAATTGTACTCGGATAATGTTATTTTTTTTTTTTAGAGGAAATACAATTCAAACAAATATAAGGACATTTAGATTGTAGATAAGTAAAGACCTGTTTTGCCAGATTGTCTTCATCGAATTCTGAGGATAAAGAAAATGAACTAAGTTCGCCAAAACATAATATTGAAATTCTATATCGTTAGTGTTACTGAAATCCTTTCCATAATTGGAGGACCTACCTTGGTACAATGATATCAAGGTAGGGCTATGATACCATATGATTTTAATTTGTTTTATTTTCTTGGCTTAATATGTCATCTTTATTTGTTTATGTATGTGTTTTCTTTTCAATAACAAAAAAAATTGTTCAGAAAATATTCAAATTCGGGTGTTTTTAAAATGTTTATTTCAACGTATGCTTCGACAAAATCTAGAGTTTTTGTAGCGAAATAATCCTTTAGAGATATATAGAACCTGGTTTTGAAAAGAAGTGTTGACCTATCATTCAGTTATCGCGTTTTTCAATTATTTATTCAAAATAAATGCAACAAGTTGTTTGATTTTTTATTGTTTTGATACTAATTCTGACATTACAAGCCAAACAGGTAGACCTCTATACTTGCAATTTTTTCAAAGTTGACCTACCATCTCTTCATTGTACCATGGGACCTAATATGTATTAAAGATTAAGATATCAATTCGTAGTGATTGCCAAATCAAACAACTCCTTAGATTATCAGAGAAATGTTTTTGGAATATCGAATAAATCGTTCTATTAAATTGGGATGAATTAAAGATAAATATATCAATTTGTAGTGATTGCCATAAAAAAATATTTAGATTATCAGAGGAACGTTTTTGAAATTTCGAAAAAAATCCTGCCTTTAATGTGTGAAACAAATAAGAAATTTCCTTCCTAGAAATACAGGAAACAGTCAAAACGAGATAGACCCATAGTTACTTTTGAGGATCTTCATAGAATCACTTTCTGAGTCGATTTACTCATGTCAGTCCAACTGTCCGTCTGTCCTCGTCCTTGTGACAGGTCGCATTTATTAACCGATTGAAAAGAAATTTTGCAAACAATATTTGTTTGGCCCAAGGACGAACCCTTTTGAATTTGGTGATAATCGGATCAGATTTATATATAGCTCCCATATATCTTCACCCGATTTCGGGTTAATTGTGCACCAAATGGACAATATAAGTCCATATGGACATATACAACCCAATTCAGTCTAGAATCAAGTTCATCAAATTTGGTGAAAATCGATCGAGATATAGCTATAGCTTCCATATATATGTTTCATCCGATTTGGTGATTATGTCCCTCACATTCGTAATATGCACTTGACAACAATGATATTCGGTACCAGATATCAGATACAGCCCCGAAAAATACCTCTGCCAAATTGTATCAAGATCGGTTCAGATTTGGATATAGCTCCCACATATATCCTTAATCCGATTTCGGGTGCACCGAATGGACAATATCAGTCAAAATGACCTGCATTTTGGCACATCTGACAGAATTCAGTCTAGAAGCAAGTACATCAAATTTGGTAAAAATCGGTTCAAATAAAGCTATAGCTCCCATGTATATGTTTTTAACCGATTTTGGTCCCTCACATGCATAATATGAACTCAACAAGAAAGATATTAATACCGGACATCAGATAAAGCTCTAAAATATCTCTGCCAAATTGTATTAAGATCGGTTAAGATTTGTTTATATATTCCATATATATCCATAATCCGATTTCAGGTTTATTGTGCAAATACTAGTTAATGTTTCCATGTGTGGAGCTTGACCCCGATATATATTTTTTAGTATAATCCTAATATCATGCACTTTATAGCAATGTTATTTGGTATAAAAGATTAAAATGTCTCCGTCAAATTTAGTGAAAATCGATTCAGAATTGGACATGCTTCCCATATATTAATTCCCTCTGAAACCAAATTATAACTGCTCTAAAGACAAATGTTAAAAGGTGGTATGATCTACTTCAAATAAATTATTTTGTTACGGAAGCTCTACTAAATATGCATAGTGGTGTATCCTACATATAGTCGGCACCGCCCGACTTTTGACTTTTCCTTACTGGTTAATTTAGAAATTAGAAATTAAAAATTAGAAAGAAATTTAAATTAGAAATTAATTTTAGAAATTAGTTTACAAAACGATGTGCATGGATTAATTCGTGTGTGTGCTGAAGCAATTGCATATGTATGGGTTGCCAACCTCCTTTCTAAAGCAGGGCCGGGAAGAGAGTCACATTTTATATTTTCCCAATTTTGTTATGTTTTCAATGATTTTGATAATAAGTGCGTAGAGAATTACACTTATTGAAGGCACTCATGTCTGATTCTTCAGCGTTTTCTTTTATTCATAGTGCATATTCTAAGCCGCATTTTTAATATTAATCAAGATTGGCAAGGGAAAATATGAATAGGAAAATTCTATACAAATCAGTGCTAAATTTTAAGCTAAAGCTTAAATTTTAAGCAAAAAGACATTAAAATTTTTCCGACATTAAAATTATTCGGTAAAATCGGAACCTTGTTTTTTCTTTGAATCACAAATATATTGACACTGTAAATATTTATGTATTATTATTAAATTTTATTTATTTTATATTATGTATGTATAAAGAATTATATTTTTTTCAAATATTATCGAACTTCTTAAGTTATTCTGTGTTCGTTCTACATGTTGTGTGTTCGTTCCTTGTTCTGTACCACTGAGAAATATTGTGCATTAATCTATTTCTTCCATTTGTGTCTTTGCTTTAAAAACTTTATGTCCCCCAGATTTTTGCAAAGGTCGTGAAACGTTACAGAATCTCTGCGATCAGATACCGGGTGATGCATTGCTCTATTCCTTGTTCAGGGAGAGTGCCGAGCCGGTCAAATGTCCACTGAAAGGTAATATTTTTTATCCAAAAAACTTCATTTCTATAAAATAATTTCAAATTATTCTTTATTTTTTCAGGTCCATTTGTCTTTACCTACAATCGTGGAAATGGCGAATGCAAGTCTCCCGTCTCAAACATTGAAAGTTGCACCGAAGATAGCCGTTTGCTATTGAGTTTCCAGGCCTGTCCCGATGTTGTGGGGACAGAAAGTACAGGTATGTAAACATATTTTATTTGATTTAAGATCATTCAAAATTTATAAAATTTTCAATATTTTCAGTTGAGGAACTAACTTGCCTGGCCACCTGGAAAGATGGCAACTCCCGCTATTTAGTGGGCCTGGTATCCCACCATCATGCCATATCGAATGAAGAGCGTTATCGTTGTTTTGTCTATGAGAAGATTTCTTCATTAATGGGTAAGAAAAATTAAATTCAGGGAATTCTCAAGGGGAATTCAAAAAGAGACTCGAACGAATTGCGATGAAAAATCGGCTTTTTATATGTTTTGGGATGACAGTAGTTTCATTAATTTCAAAAAATAACTCATAGTGTACATTACGAAATTTGTATACCCAGCACCACATAGTGGTAAGGGTATAATGTTTTTGTGCATTTGTTTCTTACGTGGAGAAGAAAGCGAGATAGACCCATAGTTACTTTTGTGGATCTTCATAGCATCACTTTCTGAGTCGATTTATGCATGTCCATCCATCTGTCCATGTATTTTTGTGAACAAAATGCAGGTCGCATTTATTATCTGATTGAGATGAAATTTCCCAAACAATATTTGTTTAGGCCAAGGACGAATTTTTATATAATCCTTCTCGAAGTGATATCATGCGCTCTGTAGCAATGTTATTTGGTACAAAATATTAAAATGTCTCCGTCAAATTTAGTGAAAATCGAATCAGAATTGGATATTCCCTCTGAAGCCAAATTATAACTGCTCTAAAGCCAAATGTTGACAGGTGATATGATCTACTTCCAATAAATTCTTTTGTTACGAAAGCACTACTAAATATGCACAATAGTGTGGGGTATAATTTAGTCGGCCCCACCCGACTTTTGACTTTTCCTTACTTGTTTTTCTTCTGAATTTTCGTTTGGCTTGAGGTCGGAATTTAAAAATTTCAGAATTTATTTCACAATGCCAGGTCTAGGAGGAAATTTGCATTTAGCACCTAAGTTCGGTTGGGCCGAACTTTTAATACGTGGAGGGTATTTGGAATTTGGAAGGAACTTGAAAAATTGCATAAAAATGTCATGTAAAATGAATGAAACCCATTATGAGGGAACTATACGATCCGGGAAACCTGAATAGGTAATTATTTGTCATTGGCTGTAGTGCCGATTCCGAACTTCAAATACAAAATTTGAAATAGTTCCGATGAAATATGTCGTTAAAACCATCAAAATACCGAATATCGGGAGGTACCGAAAACGTGATCCTGCATAGACAATTTTCTGTCACAAAATTCAAATACGAAATTTGAAACAATTCCGGTTAGTAAAGTCGCTGATATCATCAAAATACCGAATATCGGGAGGTACCGTTATATAGGGGCTATACAAAGACGTGGACCTGCATAGACAATTTTGTGTCATAAGTTGTTGTATCCATTATGAACATCAAATACGAAGTTTGAAACAATTCCCGTTAATAATGTCCCTAAAATCATCAAAATACCGAATATAGGGAGGTGCCGTTAGATGGGGGCTATACGAAGACGTGGACGTGGACGTGGATTTTCTGTCTTATGCTGTAGTTTCCATTTCGAACTTCAAATATTAAATTTGAAACAATTCCGGTAAATAATGTTGCTAAAATCATCAAAATATCGAATATCGGGGGGTTCCGTCGTATGTATGCTATACAATATCGTGGACCTATAGAGTCATTTCTCTTCCAGCGGCCTATAGAGTCAATTCTCTTCCTGCCTACTTCCAAAATACACATATGTACAAAATGTTGTTGTAAATATGTAATATACCCTCCATAGTATGGTGGAGGGCATACAAATTCTTTGTAGAGTTAGGTTTCCCATAGACGTCAACTTTCAAAACGTCGTTACAGATATCTTCTATTTTTAATTTCCTTTCAGAACCAATAGTTATTTTCCCGAAATTATTTTTGTTTTACTTACTTTTATAGATATTTTGAATATTTCGAATCGTATTTATTATTTTTCCATTTCATTTAAACCTAAACCTTTTTTTCTTTCCACAGACATGGGTCATTTTGGTGGACCAAGTATGTCAACATCTAAAGATGCCGAATACAAATTGGCCCAATCGGGTGATGCAACATGCAATGGTTTGGATAGTGCAGAGGTAAAATATTACCAGATTATATTCATTTACAAAATATTTAAAACCTTTTCTTTACTCCATTCCCTAGGTGGGCTCACGCATTATGTCGCTTCGCAAACCGCCTGTCACCGAACGCTGTGATTTCCCAGCCTGGTTTAAGGGTCCGCGGCATTGGCATGTGCTAATGGGCAATGCGGTCTACAACTATCACTCAAAGTAAGTCAAAATGCCAGACATAGCATTTCAACAATGACAACTAATTATGTTCTCTTGCTTTCAGTGATGGTTCCATACACATTATAAAACCCAATGGTTATATGGACACCAGGGCATTGTGTGAGCAAATCAATAAGCAAACGGCAACGGAAATGATGTCTGTGGTACATTATACCACCGGATGGTAAGGGTGTACTTGATGATCTCTTAAAAGAGTTTTCAATAATTAAATTCTTTCTTTCAGTCAATCGGGCTTTATGTGTATGATGTTCTATCGCCGTGATACCCATATCATTGAAATTCAAACGGGCAAACCTGCTTCACGACTGGAAGATGCCTGTGCTCCGGATCATTTTGATATTAATAAGACACCCTATATTACTCTACTGGGTATGATTGACTATCCTTAGAAAAACATTGAAATCATATTAAAATAATATTGTTTAATTTCAGCATCAAATCCTGATCCCCAAATCTGTCCTATGGAAGGCTTATACACATTGCGAGGAGCCATTGGGCCTCCATACATGACCACAAGACACAAGCGTAACCACAACAACAAGGTGCATGGCATTCACAATCATCATCATCAATTCGAAAGTAATGAAAGGGGTTTGCATAGAAGGTAGGATACCATATCATATGTCGTGTAGTTCAAACTAACTAAAATTGATTCGCTCTTGGCATTTCAGACACACCTCGTTGAGTTTCCGTAACTCCAACCCGAATGAACGTAACGCCTGGCATTCAAATACCCGTGGTCTGCCGGGACGTTCAAGACGCGATGCATCCAGTACAACAACCCAACCCACTACTTCAACACTGAATGGTAGTCAAGAGTTGTCAGCTTCCTCGGCTTCCGCGTCACCCAAAGATGTAACGACCCAGGAGATTTTGGTTGTGGGCAACAGCACCAATGTTGGCTTTGTACAAGATCCCGACAGTGATAATAGATTAAGAAGTAGACGTAATGTTCCTGAATGCATAACAAACTACAAGGCCCAACGTCAGCTGTGGATAGGTTGTACCGAACCGAATGTCATCGATGTTCGACCATTGTGCAATGATGAGGGCGATGAAGGTGAGTGATGCACAAAAAACACAATGGAAAGGAAAAAAAGAGAATTTTTGAGGAGAAATGTTTCCAATACAGAATGACTTACCTTCAGGCAAAAAATCGAAGTTGATATTTTTTGAATTTGAAGAGAATGGGATTTTTATTCGCTTTCTTTGAGCGTGACGTTTTTCATAATCTTGAAACCGATGTTGGAAGGTAGGTACCAGAAGAAATTGTCCGATCTCTACCATCTTTACCATCTCGTGTTGATGGAAATATTGAGATGTGCCAAGTCTGAAAGGAATCGGATATTAATTTCACGTTTTATGAGTTTCGTGGATATTTAAAGTATCGACCCTTTGTGGGGAAGGTACCAGAAGGAGTGGACCGATATATCCCAATCTCAAACCTGACCTTGGATTAATAAAAATATTGCGATGTGTGTAATTTGAAGAGAACCGGATGGGGAGATACCAGAAGGAATGGTCCGACGTCTACCAACTTTATAACAGATCTTGGGTTGAGGGAAATATTGAAATGTGCCAAGTCTGAATGGAATCGGATGTTAATTTCGTGTTATATGACCTTTGACCACTTGTGGGGGAAGTACCAGAAGTAGTTGACCGATATATTCCATCTTCACACCAGATCTTGGGTTAATAAAAATTTGGTTATGTGTGTAATTTTAAGACAATTAAAAACTTACAACACATTTTATAAGAGTTAAAATTATTCGAAATTTTGCCCTTTGTGGGGAAGGTTCTTGACGGAGTGGATCGATATTGTTCATTTTCGCACTTGACCTCATGCAAATATTAGGATTTGCAAAGTTGGACCAAAATCGGATTATCTTTTCTCTTTCGGTGCAATAAATTATTTTCTTTGAAAATGTTGACATTTTGTGGGGGAGGTACCAGAAGGGGTAGACCAATATTGCCCATCTCCGAACTAGATATAAGTTTGAAAACAATTTTACGATGTACCAAGATTAGATGAAATCGGATACTCCCTTTGAGAGTTATCGGGCGCACAGCCAGCCAGGCAAAAAGACGGATGGACATCGCTGATCCAAAGAGACCTAGGGTCTAAAACCAATATTTTGGTGAGACACATTTTGTCCATATCGTATCTCTAGCCATATGGCTGTCAAATAGCCCTTTAAGAATAATATATAAAGAATCACTGTAAAGTGTAAATTCCTTTGACGAAAGACATCTACGATGACAATTCTCGTTCATTAAAAATTCTTTATCCAATGTTTCATTTAATAACATTTATCGTTCTTCTTCCAGAATATTCATGTCATGGTTCCTGGACTGAAAATGGCACCGTTTACATTATCGCTCGACACAAGGGAACGAAACATGGTGTGTGCATCAGTTATCGGCCAACAGAGGGTACCAATGCTAAATTGGTGGTGGGGGATGCCTGCTATAGAGGAACCCAAAAACCACCTGAACATCATTTGGAAGCCAGTTTATCGGTGTTTGGTAAGTTTATATCAGAGATTATAAAATATAGGAAATTTACTAACAGCTCGTATTTTATTTACAGGTAAATGTGGTGAAACTGGTAATACCTCAGCAACCATACCCATCTTGAGCTGGATACACTTAATGACAGCATCCATACTAACTACAATCTTATGTCAATTCGCAATACCAAGATGATTTAGCAACTAAGAGAAATGTCACAGCACTCCCTCAAATACACACACTGGCATTGCTTTAAACCTCATCCTTAAAGAAAACTTCAACAACAACAACCGCAGCAACAGAAAAACGAAAATATTTGATATAAGAAAATTGTCTATATATACAGCTAGACTAGATACGAATTCAAATTTAAGCAAATATCACATGTTACAAATACTACAACAAACAACAACAGCAGCAGCAGCATCAGCAAAATAAATGTTTTTCTTTTTCGAAACTAATTAAAGAGAACAACAAAAAAAGTAAAGTAAAAAAAATGCACCTCAATACATAAAACCGACGCTTGTTTTATGTATTATTCTTTTTTCAAAAGAATTTTTAAAATAAAACAATAAAATTAATAATAAAAAATATATAAAACAAAATCGAAAACTATGAGAAATGTATATAATGCATAGAATTTGCTAATAATAAATAAACAAAAAGAATTAGATTTAAAAACGAATGGAATGTTATAAAATTAAACAAAAGAACTTTGCATTTAAGTTGAGAATTTTTCTATTTTGTGTTTTTTATATATGAATGTCATTTAATTATATAAAACCTTATAAATATAGAAATATATATATACTAAATGTTGTATACTAAGCGCTCTATTCTTCCCTCACTTGATTACAGCAACAACAAAACAAAGTGATTGTAAATACAATTTGGAAAAATTGAAATTGTTTCAAGTTTTTCTTTTGGCCTCTTCTAAAGTGTAAATAAATAAAAAAAACTAAAAAAAACAATAATTGTGTGGTTTTCGTTAAACATAAATATTTAAAAAAAAAACAAAATGGTTTGCACAAAATTAAACCTAGTAAATAGTTCAAGAAACAACTACAACGCTATGGCAAACAAACAAAACAATTACAACACAAATAACGACAAAAGACTTTTGCTGTGCGTTTAAATTATTTCTTAAAAACAAAAAAACAAAACATTAAATTATTAAATTTGTGTAATAATATTAATAGTAATTATTTTTTTTCTTGTATTTTTTTATAAACAATATTATGTTATTTTTCAATAAACGATTTCAATGTATCCTAAGCTTTATAAAGAAAATAATTAAATTAAATAAATTTTGCTAAAACAAACGAACAGACAGCAACACACCTAGACAACAATTTACAAATGAAAAACAAAACAAAACAAACAAACAAATCTTTGCTAAGCTTATATAATTTCCTTCATTTAAATGTTTATGTTTTGTATTTTTATCACACATCTAATGAATAATATTAAATTAATAAAAAAATAAAATAAAATAAAAAAATCAAAACAAACAAATGCAATGTTATACGATTTGTATGAAGCTTAAAGCTTTAAATGTCTTCTGAAATATGTAAGGATTTCTGGTCTGGGTTGTATTTATAAGTCCTTTATTCTTATTCATAAATGTATGTTTTTGCTCAATTTAAATATTTTTTGTTTCAAATTGTATTGAGGTTGTCTTGCAATTCTGCCCCTGACGACAAAATAGAAAGCCAATGTTATTTTATTTGTATGTGAGAAATCATCACAATTTTTAATCATTCTTAATGACTGACTATATACGAATATTGAAAAAAAATTAGCTGGGGTTTAAATTCTACAAGATTTTACAGTCTTAAATTATTAAAAATTCCTTAGCTAACCTATAAACGGGTTAAATTCAGTATGATACAGATTTCACTTGAATTGTATATCAACTCTAAAATAATCTTGTAGATCTTCAATATTGAAATATTTTTCAATAATGCCGTTTTAATAAAACATGCGCCTCTTGAGTTAAGCTCAATAGTTTCGGGGAAGAATTCCAAATTTATGAAACGATATAGGAATGATTTTTTTCTTTGAAATTGCATGGGGATTTTTTTATTTATTATTATTTATTTTTCAAAATGAAAAATGTTTAAAATGACATACGACAACAATTTCACAGATATAATTTAATGTTCGAAAATATCAGCTGATTTTTTTTGTCCCCATAGTTTGATAATAGCAAATCAATGTGAATGGGAATTCCCACTACATCTTATTTTGTGAATGTGAATTCGCATTCCATTTGTGAATGGGAACTCCCATTTATTCTGTAATAGGGGTGAATAAAGTACTGAAAACTCCATTGGCTATGGACATAAAAGTATAAAGACATAGAGCTATAAAGGTGGGACAAGACAGGGACGCCAGATGGATTTACCTTTTTGGTTATGAAAGCATAACAACATAGTTACCAATGTTACGTGATTCTAACCGCTAAGTTAATATTCAATTAATTAGTAAACCTAATTGAATACAATATTGGTGTCATATTTTTGATATTTAATTTTACTGTTAACATGCTCCTGTCATTAGCTGGACCATATTCTTCAAATGCTTTCTTAATTTTTTTTTTAATTTTATTTTAAAATCCTAATAAATGCCTGTTGCAAATCCTGCAAGTGTCTACTAGTTTTTCAATTTTTTTTTTTTTTTTTTTTTTGATATCATAAAGGAAAAATCGGGTTTCTTAGTCTTAGACATTCTTGCAGTTCTGGAACAAAATTGAAAAAAAAAATTAAATATTTTGGAAATGGACTAGAGCTTTTAAAATTCTTACAATGACACAAATTAAAACGAATACGTTTGAATACGAACTATTCAATTGAAAATAACTTTTTTTACAAAAACAGGCTTTTAGGTCAGTAGTGGAATTCTCTAACCTACCTACAAAATTCGGTAGAATTAAATGTCTTATAATTTCGGTAATTAACAAAATTTGCTGGTAAGTTAGCGACGAAATCAAAGTAGTCGCTAAGACCTACCGATATATACCAATGTTGTGAACTTTAACTCATTTTTATATAGAACACTTTGGGTTTCAAAGTTAACGGTTTTTGTCGGTAACTCAAAAAATGAGTTAGAGAATCCCACTACAGGAAAGTTTATGAAAATGTTCACCTCGACTTGACTTTTGTTTATTTCCCTTTCGAGATGAGGTTAATGATCTGAAATTTGTAGTGAAAAGGAAAGGCTCATGAGGCATATTTGGTGTGGATAATGGCTTACAAAGGCCGTTCTTTGGCAAGTTGTATTTTCGACTTCGCTAGGATTGTGGGTCATCAATGGACTTTTGTTTAACATATGACAATTTTTGATTTTAGCAGAAGACATTTGGATATAATTTGGTAGTCAGTAGGTACAAAGTGTTATAGATATTGTCAGATGGCCGAAACCCATATTTGGTATATGGGGATTGCCCGATTTGAGAAATTTTTAGGGATAAAGATACTTTAAAAAAGTATACAGAATTTTCTCACTTGAGGAGGCCTTATAGACAAATTTGGTGTGGATGGCTAATGACAACTGGAAGGATTCTTGGAGGATTTTTAAAAAAATTGGCCTGTATGGCTTTTAAAGACTGCACTTATATCCGAATTCAGAGCAGTAAAGGTCATACATCTTCTTCAGGCTTCAGGCAAATTTGGTACAAAGGGATTTTTTGCCGATTTGAGAAATTTTGTTGATTTAACATTCATTTTTAATTTTACTATTAACAAAACGGATACAGAATTTTCTATTTTGAGGAAGCTTTATAGACAAATTGTATGTGGATGGATTATGAGGACTGGAAGGCTTCGAGGGGGATTTATTTAAAAAAATTTGGCGTAGATGGCTTTTAAAAGCTGGACTTCTATCTGAATTTAGAGCGTTAAAGGTCATGCATATTCTTCAGACTTTTTAAAGACCTAGGTATCTAAACTTGAATCGTACATTTTTTGTTCGAAAAACATTTAAATTTTCCACGCTAATTCTTAAAAAAAGAATATCTTTAAATCCTCCTTAAAATTGATAACAACAATAGCAAGCTCTCATTTCAATTTTACAATAATTTTTAATAAAAAAAAATTCTGAAAGTACTCCAAGGAGTATTCCTTAGGATGTTGTAAAAAATGTAGTTTCTTCAGAAAATCATAAAATTTTTTTAGGGTTTGTAGCAAAAAATTATAAAACTACGAGAATGAAATTTAAAAATTAAATGTCATTTAGAAATGATTGATGAGGTTATGTCAATGTATGAAGAAAAGAGATTGATTTGAAAAAAAGATTGATTTTTTATTTAAAATATTAATTCAACAGGAGGAACGACTTAATAGAAGACTGGACTCTGTGCTGAGACCATATTTAAAAAGACAAGTCTTGGAAGATTTGAATACCATGTTATGGGAAGAGGGTTTATCTGATAGCCCCTTATTAAAATGGAAACATTTGGCATACGATTGCCACTTAAATGGAATAGTAATATTACCAATAGGTTTTTTGGATTTGGAAAAATGTTAATACATGAAAAACTGTATTTACAATAAATGGTATGATCCATTTTTGTCAATGGTTCGATATTGTGATGCATTCCATACACTTTTTGAATTTTATTTATAATTATTTTATTTTTTATTTTTTGAATTTTTTTCATAAAATATTTCCATTTATAAGAAGACAATACTAAACATTACAAATAAAGAACAAAAAGACATTAAAGTTACTTTAATTACAGACAACAATTGAGTTTCTAAATAAACAAAAAAATAAAACGCAACTAACAAATTATGTTTATGTCTAGCATTAACTGAGTTTTGAATGAAAACTGCATACATATGGTATAATTTATTTCAATACATAACAAAGATGAAATATATATTTTTATAAATTGGTTTTATTAAAAAAAAAACACAGTTTTCAAAACAAAACAAAAAAATAGTTTATAAATGTTTGTAAATATTATAAAGCACTTTATTTGAATTGAGCGTGAGAAAAAGGAATACGCAAATGCACAGGAAATTTTTAAAATTTTCATCTCAACTTGCTAATTGGCAAAATTATATTAAAAAATAAACAGTTCTTGCCTAAAAATACAATTTTTTTATAATAAATTAAATGTACAAAAATCATATGAACATACTAAATTTAGACGACAAGAAAAAATGTATTCAAACCCATAAAGAAATAATATTTTGCATAGTGGAAAAAAAGGAAAGACATTGCATTCATTGGTTTCATAAATAAAAACAACAACAACAACAATATAAATCACATCAATATGCATTAATACATAACAACAACAACAAAAAAAAACAAGCTACTTTGAAAAAATAAACATGTAACTTCAAAAGTGACATCAAATATATAACTTTAGACTAGCTATATTTAATTCAACTAATTATAAATAAATGTATTTACAATATATATACATATACCTAATGATGATAATGACTATATAAATGAAAAAAAAAAACAAGAGAAACGAACATAAAACAAACCAACTCTCATTTAAGTAGCACTAAATAATAACAACAAAAAAAAAAGGTATCATTTAAACATTTTTTAACTATAGAAAATAAATAAATTGCAAAGAAAACAAAAAAAAAAAAAAACACAAAAAACAAAACATTTTTCAATTAAATGAAATCGCAAGTATTTAACTCCAGCAATTGGTAATATTATGACGAAGCGCATAGAAGCCCATAACATTAGTGACAACAAACCAACAAAATCTATAAAACTGAATTCAAATAAATTAAAAGAGCAAAGACGAAAACGACGATGAAAAAGACAGATAAAAAAATCATTTAAATGTTTTTAGAATGTTTAAGGCAATTAAGAGGTGATATAGATCTAGAAATTGTTTAAATATAAACTCAACATCATGCACAGAGCGACCCCAACAAACACTACACACCCCATCATCAATTTATTTCCACAAAAGCACACAAACAACAATCCTTCTCTCTCTCCCTGCCATTAATCAATCGATGCAATCAGTCACTCACTCAACTTCACACCATTTCCCTCTTAACTTTCTCTTTCTCTCTCCCCTGCCACACCAGAATAACACTAATTCCATTAAAACAAATTTCCCCCCAAATAATAAAAATTCTAATATCTACTGAGACAAAAAAAAAACGAAAAGTCGAAAACAAAGGATA